AATGGGTTAATATTCTCTCTCTGTGTCTGGGTTACTCAGTTCCCGCCATTAATGGGTTAATATTCTCTCTCTCTGTGTCTGGGTTACTCAGTTCCCGCCATTAATGGGTTAATATTCTCTCTCTCTGTGTCTGGGTTACTCAGTTCCCGCCATTAATGGGTTAATATTCTCTCTCTGTGTCTGGGTTACTCAGTTCCCGCCATTAATGGGTTAATATTCTCTCTCTGTGTCTGGGTTACTCAGTTCCCGCCATTAATGGGTTAATATTCTCTCTCTCTGTGTCTGGGTTACTCAGTTCCCGCCATTAATGGGTTAATATTCTCTCTCTGTGTCTGGGTTACTCAGTTCCCGCCATTAATGGGTTAATATTCTCTCTCTCTGTGTCTGGGTTACTCAGTTCCCGCCATTAATGGGTTAATATTCTCTCTCTGTGTCTGGGTTACTCAGTTCCTGCCATTAATGGGTTAATATTCTCTCTCTCTGTGTCTGGGTTACTCAGTTCCCGCCATTAATGGGTTAATATTCTCTCTCTGTGTCTGGGTTACTCAGTTCCCGCCATTAATGGGTTAATATTCTCTCTCTCTGTGTCTGGGTTACTCAGTTCCCGCCATTAATGGGTTAATATTCTCTCTCTGTGTCTGGGTTACTCAGTTCCCGCCATTAATGGGTTAATATTCTCTCTCTGTGTCTGGGTTACTCAGTTCCCGCCATTAATGGGTTAATATTCTCTCTCTGTGTCTGGGTTACTCAGTTCCCGCCATTAATGGGTTAATATTCTCTCTCTGTGTCTGGGTTACTCAGTTCCCGCCATTAATGGGTTAATATTCTCTCTCTGTGTCTGGGTTACTCAGTTCCCGCCATTAATGGGTTAATATTCTCTCTCTCTGTGTCTGGGTTACTCAGTTCCCGCCATTAATGGGTTAATATTCTCTCTCTGTGTCTGGGTTACTCAGTTCCCGCCATTAATGGGTTAATATTCTCTCTCTGTGTCTGGGTTACTCAGTTCCCGCCATTAATGGGTTAATATTCTCTCTCTCTGTGTCTGGGTTACTCAGTTCCCGCCATTAATGGGTTAATATTCTCTCTCTGTGTCTGGGTTACTCAGTTCCCGCCATTAATGGGTTAATATTCTCTCTCTCTGTGTCTGGGTTACTCAGTTCCCGCCATTAATGGGTTAATATTCTCTCTCTGTGTCTGGGTTACTCAGTTCCCGCCATTAATGGGTTAATATTCTCTCTCTGTGTCTGGGTTACTCAGTTCCCGCCATTAATGGGTTAATATTCTCTCTCTCTGTGTCTGGGTTACTCAGTTCCCGCCATTAATGGGTTAATATTCTCTCTCTGTGTCTGGGTTACTCAGTTCCCGCCATTAATGGGTTAATATTCTCTGTGTCTAGTTACTCAGTTCTATTAATACTGGTTATTCTCTTCTGTGTCTGGGTTACTCAGTTCCCGCCATTAATGGGTTAATATTCTCTCTCTGTGTCTGGGTTACTCAGTTCCCGCCATTAATGGGTTAATATTCTCTCTCTCTGTGTCTGGGTTACTCAGTTCCCGCCATTAATGGGTTAATATTCTCTCTCTTTCTCCCTCTGGCAGGGGGCGGGACACACTCAGGGGGCGGGGTTACATGCGTTCCAGTGACAGCCAATCAGACGGCGACAGAGCGCAGAATGTGGGCGGGGCACAGAGGGGGTGTGGCTGCGTTGCGGGGGGCGGGGTTTGTAGCTGCGGTCCTCTCACACACACAGATACCGTCTCCGCAGCAGCATCGCCCGCCGCCATCTTAGCTCAGCACCCGGAGAGACATAGCGGCAGCCGGACCGAGAGAGGGAGGAGGGAGG